TCCGTCTCCAGCCCTGTGCTGATTGGCCGTACCAGCTCCCCCTGGCCCCAGGCTCCGCCCCCGGCCCTGTGCTGATTGGCTGTACCAGCTCCCGTGGCCCTAGGCTCCGTCTCCAGCCCTGTGCTGATTGGCCGTACCAGCTCCCGTGGCCCTAGGCTCCACCCCCGGCCCTGTGCTGATTGGCTGTACCAGCTCCCATGGCACTTAGCCCCCCCGTTGCCAGGTCCCTCTCCTCCCAGCCCCCCCCCGGCCGCTCTCCAACCACTCTCCTCTGCCACAGGGGACGGTGCTGACGCCGACCATGGACCACACCATTTCCATCCAGCCCGCCTCCATGATGGGCCCCCTGACCCAGCAGCTGGGCCACCTCTCCCTCAGTAGCACTGGCACGGTAAGGCCCCCGTCCGCCGGCCCCAGGGCCCCAGCCTGGGCTCCTTTGGGCACCAGCCGCCCCCTGACCTCTCCTCTCTCCCTCCCCAGTACATGCCAGCGGCAGCAGCTATGCAAGGAGCTTACATCCCTCAGTACACGCCCGTGCCTTCCTCCAGCATCTCAGTTGAGGTAAGGGCCTTGTTCCAGGCTGGGGGCACAGCTGGAGGGGCAAGCCCCTGCCACATCTGTCAGCCGGGGGGGTGGAAGTCCTGGGGGCCGCGGGTTCTAATCTCCCCTTCACCCCTCCGCCTCGCTAACCAGCCAAGCCTCTGAAATGCAGCCACCTCTGGGGTGGGGTATGGCAGCTGCTGGACAGCTGATGCAGTGATAAGGAACCGGGGATCACTCACCCACCCAGCATTGAAATGCAGCCACCTCTGGGGTGGGGTATGGCAGCTGTTGAACAGCCAACGCAGCAACCTTGCCCTGGCAGGCTAGGACAGGAAGTGCGCCTGTCTCCAGCTGGCCTCAGGTCAGCACGGGGCATTGACTGGGAGCGAAGAGCATCTCCCAGCACCACTTGCTGCAGTGCCCCCTCCCTAGGCCTCCCATTCGGTGGTCAGGATAGGGGTGCGGGGGCCAGGCGGGGAGGCCGGGCCAGCGTTACCCCACACCCCCTAACCTCCTGCCTTTCAGGAGAACAGCGGCCAGCAGAGCCAAGTGGCTGTCGAGTCTCCGTCAGATCACGCTGCCTACTCCTATCAGTACAGCAAGTAACTGCAGGTAAGGGGGGGGGGGGTCAGGGAAAGAGAGCCTGGCCCTCTTGGTGGCTCAGGCCCCAGGGTAGGAGACTGGCTGGCTATGGGGGACGGGGAATGGGACATGGGGCCTTTCCCCTGTAGGGGGCGCCGGCTCTGATCTGGCCCCAGGGCAGGGGACTGGCTGGCTATGGGGGACGGGGAATGGGACATGGGGCCTTTCCCCTCTGCTCTTTGCAAACCCTTGTATCAGTGAACTGTTCTTTCCCTCGCCAGCTGGACCAGGCGTCTCTGCTCCGAGCGCTCGCCCCGAGGGAGATCGCCACCTCCTCTTTGATTTGTGCTGCATCTAGAAGATCGAATCCAATTTTTTTTTCTTCGTTCGTTTCTTTCTTTTGCAAAGAAAACAGTTTTGTAAAAAAAAAACAACAAAAAAAAAACCGGCAATAGACTTTGCTCACCAAGGAACCAAAGCGGTGGAATGGGGGGGCTGGGTCACCAGATCCACTCCGCGCGGACGGACAGATGGACTGAGGCCTATTTTAATAGGAGGGGGAAAAAAAAGTGTTTGGTTTATTTTTGGTCGTTGTTTTGAAGAACCCCCCCTTTTTTTTTTGGGTGGTTCTTTGAGGAAAGGCTTGATCCAGGAGGGTGGATCTGGCTGCCCCGGAGTGGCGAGGCTGCAGCTTCGAATCTCTGGGACAATCGTCGTTTTCTTTTGTCAATTAAGGATTACTTTTTCGTTCCTTTCTTTTTCTTTTCTTTTCTTTTTTTTAAAGGAAAAATATGCAACGTTTGAACAATTCTATATTGAGGGGGTTTTTGGTTGTACTGCTCCCCGACCGATTCCGCCCGTCTCTTCGCCCCCCTCCGGACGCTTCTCCACGCCTGAATGCCACTGTAGGATAAAGAATTTTTTTCCGGGGGAGGGGTTGCTTTAAAAGAAAAGGAAAAAACCGCCACAAAAACCTACAAAAAAAAGCCCCACGGTTGATTTTATTGTTTTTTGCTTTTTTTTTTTCTCCCGGGTTTTATAAAAAAGGAAAAAAGTCAAAAAAAAAAAGAAAAAAGAAACACTAAAAATCCCAGGATCTAATGAGATAAACCGAGCAGGAATCCGTGACTTTCCACCGGGAGGATGAGGCGGGAGATACGCTGCATCGTGCACTGGCTGGCGGGATTTTGGGCAGGGGAAAAGTTGGCCACGAACTCCGTGCCAGGACGCAGCTCCAGGAAACCTCTAGGATCCGTAATCTTCTCCCTGCTTGAGTTTTGCCGGACAGGATCGCTGCTTGTGTTGGATTCCAGTTTGGACTGGGGGGGCTTCGTGGTCTCTGCTCCGGCCCCTGTCCTTTCCTATTAGATGCTACGTACGTGGACTCGCCTGGGTCAGGACTCCGGACTCGGCCCTGGCCCCCCTTCCAAAAGCCTCGTGCCGCTTTTCTGCGTCACCAGTGACGTCTTGTGCTTCCGGACTCCGCTCTCTGTCCACCTGTCCCACGCGCCTATGGCCCGAGGGGACCCGGCACCGGCCCCATCCGCCCTGCGGGATATACAGTGCCTTCACTGCCTGCGTTCCAGACTGTGCCAGCAGACCGCCCCCCCCGCCGCCGTGGTGACCTCCCCGCCCCCCACCACTGGGATCCGTGCACGGGGGGGGGAACAGCCGACTGGCAACACACAGATTCCCCCGCCCCACCACCCGCTGCTCTTCACCGCGGGCCACAGGAGGACGACAGGGCCCCGTGCCGCACCCACCTCGGTGGACAAGGTTGCGGGGGGGTTGGTTGGATTCTGGGCGTGGCTGGATTGCCCCCCTTCTTCCTGAGAGGGGGGTGCTGAGTGGTGGCTTTTTGGGGGCTGGGGGGGGGGCAGAGCTGGTGCTGCCCTTGCTGCAGATGGGGATCTCATTTCTATGCACATCCCAGCCCCCCCCCTCTCCTCCATGCACGCCATAGCAGAAGGCAGGACAAGTGCAATAAACCAGAACGCCGCCCCCCACCCCACAGATCCCTGCCCCCCAAATCTCTCTCACCTGGAGACCAAGCTCTTAAAGGTACCAGGCACTTTAGACTCATCTGCACGTTCTCAAAACAATACCCCCCCCTTGTGAAATGCTCTGCTGTGATTCCTCCCCCCTCAGATGGTGCTAAACCCTCCCCCTGCCCCACAGGATAGACACCCTCCCCCCAGTATCTGTTACATTGGATAGACTGTGAAACAGAGAGGCCGGCCCCTTCTCCGAGGGACATACTGGGCCCCCCATCCCTGCTGGTCCCCCCTTCTTCAGAACCCCTGCCCCTCACCCCAGTCCTAACCCTCCTGGGCTGGGGGTCGGCCGGCCGTGCCCCTTGGAGCAAATAGCTCTTATGCAGCTGACAATCAGTGATGTTCGTATCGCATGCGCGAGTGAGTTGTGTAGTAGCGAGAGAAGCAGACGAATGGGGGGTGGGGTTGGAGGGAGAAGGCAGCCCCGGCTAAGGGGTTTGTAGAGGGTGATTTATGCTGGGTGCGTGGGGG